ACAACATGGAAAATAATACGATTCTGAAGGTTTTTGTCAAGCCTGATCCTTCTCTATGAATTTGATTTTTTAGATTTCATTATAACGGGCATTTGAAAAATACCTTATGATTATTTTATCACAGATGGTGGGTGTGTTTGTGCATATTCCAGAATGCATGTATCAATAGACATATATGTCAGATATTGTTAAGCAAAGTATTTAGTTAATTTTCTGTAATAACAGAAGTTTTCTAGAAGCCTTACATGATATTATGGTTAATGTTCTCTCTATGCACCTTGTGTGCGTTCATATCTTTATATGATTTCTGGATTCAGATAATAAGCAAAACAGCCTTTGAAAGGAACAATAGGTAGTTCTATCCAGTTTTAAAAATCAATCAAACAAAGAAATCACAAAAAACTCTCAACAAAACCCAATAATCCTATTCACTGAAAATTATTAACTCAGGTAATCAATCACCTGCGAAAGATATCGATTTGTTTCCTTTGATGGAAATAATGCATATTTGGTCCCTTGAGGAAGGAGTATACACATTTATTTTCACATGCTGATTCATGTTCATTTTTAATGTAGTTTTTGGTCTCTGCATCACATGTCTGACAGGAAGATTTCTGTGCGGCTGTCAGTGGTTGCAATGAAGGCGCAATCCTACCAAACACATTCTTCATCTGTATTCTGTGTGTGTGTACCCTGCAATGAGGGAATGAGACTCTGTTGAGAACATCCTCCGTAATTCCTTAATTATGGCTCTGATTAAAAATTTCTGACAGTCTACATGCCTGAAACTGCATACGCCACTGTACTCTCACACTGCAGCTGTAGGGTGGATTGTATTTTTCCTGTCTGTAAATCAGTCTGGCGTCTAAAAGATATTGAGAACCCTCAGTTGAGATGATACACTGCCCTTTTCTCATTTCAGCAACTGGAGATGTCTTGAATATTCAAGATCTGATTCATTTTTTTCACAAGGCATCCTGATCTGTTACCTTAGAAACAACTGCATAGACGCTGGATGTTCACAGCGTATAAAGAATTGGAGAGTGAAGCGCTGTGATGACTAACTTGAAATGAAGGTTTGAATAAGTGTGCGTTTGCAAGGCTTTCATATTTTAAAGGAAAATCAGAAAAATGTGGGTTTTTTTCTCTCATAGTATTCCTAATATATTTACCTGGCACATTACGTCTTATGAGCTCTTCCGTTCTTGTAAACAGATGATGGTTTATATTGCACATTTACCTGGCACATTACGTCTTATGAGCTATTCCGTTCTTGTAAACAGACGATGGTTTATACTGCATGGTATTCTGACTGGGAAGTTGAAAATATTAACATGACGTGTTTTCTGTAAATTTATTCCGAATAGTCATTGCGTGCTAGAAGCTGAAAATTTATTAAGGGCTAAATTGTGCTTTGAGATACGTATACACAGCCTGCTCACAAATAGTAGAAGAAACTGCATCTGTGTTTTTAATGCTGGAAATTGCCTTTAAAGATTTAAAGGTGATGCAGATTGTCCTTTCTGTGCCGTGTCAGCTGTCCGTAAGTGCCGTTCAGTGTCGCAGACTGGTGGTGGCTGTCGGGAGTCGGGGAGAGCAGATGTCCGGGGTGCGGACTGTGAGACGCGGCTCAAAGGATGTAGACCGCAACGTCTTTCGGCAGCGTGAGGGAATAATTAGATCATCTGCATGGAAGAGAAGGGATGTCAGATCTCATTCAGGGAGACGTGCATCAGGGAACAGACACCTGTGTGTCTACTCGGGGACAAAGAAAGAGGAAAAACACTGTTTTGTTCCCCTAGAGTTGAGAAAGACACAAAACAGAAGATGACATTTATCTTGTGGTTATGTGCATGGGAA